ATGTTGACATTTTGGAATATTTGTTCTTTTGGAGTTGTTAGGAAGGTACAAATAAGTGGTCCACTGCCCCGTCTCCCACAGGTATACAAAGACACTTACATAGAAGCTACTTATGTACAAATATATTAATTTTAGTGGTATTTATATTAGGAGAATAATTGACAATGACCAAAATACCCCAAAATATAAGAATGATAAAATTATGTGCAGCTATTAAAATGATGCTTTCAAAGAATGGGCATTAAGATATTAATATCTGCATTTACACTGCATAGATTTATTATTCTATTATTAAACATTTGTTATTTAAAATTTTATTCTAATTGCTATTGCATAAAAAAAGTATGAAGGCAAATAGATCAAAATAATGCCAGGGTTTGGCTCTAAAATGTACAGATTTTTCAGTACTTTTTATTTTCCACACGATCTAAGATTATGTATTATTTGCAATTATAAAAACCAATCAATGTTGTTTATAAAATAAAAACATAATTATGCTGAATTAGACTTAATTAATTTTCAAATTTATATTTGATGTGAAAAGATATAGTGATAATGAAACATTACTATATTGAGAGCAGATTTTCAATATTTTTCACATTTTTAAAATCTTATTTTTAACACTATTTTCAAGGTGAATGGAGTGGAAAAAGTAAATCTTGAGTGTTTCTTAGTCCTTCTCTTAACTTATCTGAAGTTTTTCTTGGGAGATAATAGCTCCCAAAATATGCGTAAGTGTTTCTGTGTGTGTATGTGTGAGCGTCTGTGTGTGCACATGTGCACATGCCTACACACATTTGACTTCTATGGTTTTTGGAGCTTTTCCTATGCATATTTCAATTGTTCTAAAGTTCCCATTGCATATGGTTCCCACTAGTTATTGGGACATGGTCAAATGACATTCTCCTAAGGCTCCAAATCTCACTAGTGGCTAGCCCATAAGCAAGGAAGAAGTCCAAAAATCTACAGAATAAAAAGAAAACAATAAATTGCATCGTTCAAGGGATTTTTAAATGAAGAAACTATTCTGTACTAGACATTTGAGTTTGACAAAGCTGATCCTGTGGATTCAATTTCCATAAATCCTTTCAAGTGTTTAACCAACTTTTCTCATTTTGCAAAAATATCTAACAAAATCACAGGGCAGAACAATTGTTCTTGACATCATAAAAGTTTAATATCTTATTTATCAATTTTGCTTGCTTTGCTTATGTTATAGGAACTGGTCAGATATTTTTAAGAATCTGACAAACCGACAGAGAGACCAAGATGGCGGCATAGGTAAACACCGGAGACTGCTGCCGCAAACAACCACTTCAAAAATACAACTAAAAGACGGAACGGACATCACCCAGAACCACAGGAAGGCTGGCTGAGGAGAGACTCTTCAACTAGAAGGAAAAATAACAGCACACCGAGGCTCAGAGGAGGCGCAGTGTGGAAAAAACTCAGGTGCGGAGGTGCGCGCGCAAAGCGGGCTGGTGGCTGAGAGCGCGGTTGTCGTTTTCGGTCAGGGGGGAGTCTCAGACTCTGAGCTCCAGATACGGGCGAATCGCTGGGGACTCGGACCCAAACGGGAGAAGCGGGAGTGTCTGGCATCAGTTGGAAGGCAGCTTTCCCTCCGAGGTTTGCAGCGGTTCCGGGGGTTCTGAGAAGCAGAGCCTCTGGGAACGGGACTGAGAGGGGCCATAACCGCTCCCTCCGCCCACCCTG